GCCATGCCACAGTCTCAATATTCGACTGGCTTAAAATTTCTTCTCCCAGATTAATCAGTCCAATGCCCTTAATCTCAGTCTCAGGTAAAGTCTCTGGGCATGAGCAAAGTGCAGACAAACTTTCTGCCAGGTTGTAAATTACATCAACTGGAGTCCAACAACTAATGCAGTCCTTCTTCCCAGCAGAAACCTCACAAGCCTGGTCTTTACTGGCAGGCTTTCTACCAGCCTTCTGGTCTCCTGAGCTCTGACCAGAACTTCCCCTACAGAACAGCCTAAGTTGTTCCAGGGCCACTCTTTCAGATGACATCTCCAAACCTTTCTAGACTTTTCCTACAAGCCATTCCCAAAGGCTCTTGAACCACATGGCCAGGTATAGTCACAGCAACAACCCCACTCCTCTGGTACCAAATTCTGTCTTAGTTTTTACTTGTTAAGACAAAATACTTGACTCCCAAAATTAGGGAAAGAAAGGAGTATTTCTTACAGTTCTTGGAAGTTTCAGTCTATACTCAGCTGGCTCCAAGGCAGCGTGGCATGGCTGCCAGCAGCATTCATGGCTGCTGCAAACAGCAGGGTGCAAACTGGCAAGAAAAAGAGAGAGAGAGAGAGACAGAGAGAGAGAGAGAGAGAGAGAGACAGAGAGAGAGAGAGAGAGACAGAGAGAGACACAGCGAGAGAGACAGAGAGACAGTGCAAGCAAGCTACTTTCCACCTTTACATCATATTCTGGCTCCACCCCTGGGCGGGTGAAACACACACCACCAATCCAAGTGCTAACAATGAACCAATCACAATGCCAGATTTGGTCTCATCCATGAAGCTTTGGGGCCACTGCCATAAACCATGACAGTCTTGAAGTAGTTGGAAACCTCTGTTTTCAGAGCCACTTTATCTAGAAGAGCCAGTGTCATTCGCAGTCATAGCAGTAGATTCTTATTACTCCCTAATTTTCAAGACCCTCCTTCTTCATTCTCAGTGTATTCCTTCAGAGCACACCATGTGCTCGATGCTGATCACATGCTGGCATTTAAGAGAACTCAGAGGTGCTGAGAGGTCATAAGATTTGTCCAAGATGTCACAGTTAGAAAGTGGCACTAGAACTTGAAACTCCAGAGTTGGCACTCTTCACCACTAGCCCATACCATGTTCCACTAGAAAAAATATTACAAAACACAATGCCAAGTACAACTCTTGGGGCTGTTTCTGACACAAAGGCAACTGAACAAGAGAAATTGGCAATTATCCACAAAACTCAGAATTTTAAAAAATTGTTTGTAGTTGGGTAGCTCGTGTTTCCAGACTAACTACATAGATGGAGCCAATTCTCGGGCTAATGGGCTTGCTCTCTATAGAGTAGGCTCATCTACCTGAATGTCTGTGGACTCTAGGGCCCGTGGGCACCAAATGCCAGGTGGCTCCTGTGCCCTGCTGGAACTCCATCCATACCAGTCACTTCTGGCCACACACGCTACAATATGTGAGATGAGTCCTTTAGATCCATTGCCTCATGACAAAGCTGGGGTGCTTACCCAGAGGGCAGTTGGGTTCCAGTAGCCAGAGATCAATCTCAGGGGTTAGCCACTGGGCAGAACAGGCAATAGGGGGAGAGAGAGGGAAGACTGGAGGGATAGTCCTTGAGGTGATTCATTAGGCAGAGACCCCTCTTTTCACATAGGTCAGCCTCCTGTTCCTCCTGAGGCAGAATTGAAGCACATGGAAAAATTGTAAAATGCCCAAGGGCCACTATGTGCTCAAAGCCTACAGAGGGTTAGAGGAAAGGAGACTCAGGAGGTGGGGGCTGGAGCAGACAGGGATCCCGGGAGCTTTGAGAACCCGGTGAGTTCTGTCCCTAAGGCCCTATGTACCCTTGGAGAAAGAGGCAAGGCCAGATGAGCAGGGGAGTCTATCAAAAGATGGGCTTTTTGTGGGAAGATACATTTTGTGGGAAGCTCCAAAGGCCATTTTCGCACTCCAAGCACAGGAGGCCAGAGGTAGGGAGGAGCGCAGTGCTGGGGAGATGTCCAGTCCTCACCTCGGACTGGAAGAGGCTGCATAGCACGGGCCAAGTCCCGGAGACTCCCCTGCACGCCCAGAGGGTGCTCAGCCAGGGGGTGGGGGACAGAGCACTACCACCCCAAAGTATCAAGGCCACGAATTTTGCCCCTTTCAGGTTGAGTGCGTGACCCTGGTTGGCAGGAATGAAATGCTCCTGTCCGGTGGTGTGTGTGTGTGCCTGTGCACCTCTTTCACTTTGAACCGCTGGAGGATGGGAACAATACAGAACACGAACTGCTCTGCATTGAGGCACTGTTTCAGGGTGCCGCTCCTAGCGTGCTGGAAGGAGAGCACACGTGCCCCACCTTGGGCACCGGAATCCCAGCTCCGGAGGGTATCTGGCAGCAAGCAGAAGTTCTGGAGCCTGGAACATGATTTGACCAAACTTCAGAGTCTTCTCACCTGAAAGCAGCCGCCTAGACCCGCGCGGCAGGACTTTGGTCGCGCCAGGCGGCGCTGGGTCGCAACCAGACGTTCAGTGCCGCCACCTCAACCTCTTCAATTCGGGATCTGCAGGGTGCCCGCACCCACCCTGCCCTCCAGCCCTGGGGTTTGGTACCCTCCCTCGGCCGCAAAATTGAGGTCTCCCACGGGTTTCCCTGTCTGGACGCCTTCTCTGCGGAGTCCCACTGGGAGCAGTTTCGGATAAGCAAGCCAAGGGGTTCAGTCTGGAAAGTTGGGGTTCAGCCTCTCGCGGTTGGTGGATTGTTAGAAGCGCAGCGGGCAGGCAGCGGCTGCGGAGTGGACCTTTCTCCTCCAACAGATGCCTGGGGGATGGGGAGCCAAGTGAAGGGGGCCCCAAGGGGGGGTACCCCGCCTCCCAGCACCCCAGCCCGTAGTACAGCTTTAAAATCCTGCGGAGTTTGTCATAGGCCGGTCTTAGCACGCATGCGCAGACCAAAGTTGAGGTTTTCCCCGCCACCCTCGCCTTTCCAGCCGCTTTTGGTTCTGCGACTTTAAATTTTCTTTTTTCTTCTTCTTCTACTTCTTCTTCTTTTTTTCTCCTCGACCGGGAACACTGGGGGAAACAGGAGTCCGAAGAGAGGGAGGGAGAGGAGGTAGTTGGCCTGCAGGGCCGGGGGGGCGGGTGGGGGGGACGCCCCGCGGTCGGTCGGTCAGTCAGTCTGCGAGGTGCAGAATCGCGTGGAAGCTGCCGCGGGCTCCCCGGGCCGCCTCCGCCGCCGGAGCCCCGCACTGCGCGGCCGCTGCCCAGCGAGCTCCTCCGCTACCGCTCGGAGCCCAGACCGCCCGCCGCTCGCCACCCCGCGGATCCGGCGCGGACCAGAAGTCGCCGGCCACGGACCCCGGGCTGAGCCGCCACGGAGCCCGGCTCCCGCCGCTCCCCACCTCCGCGCCCGCGGTGTCCTCGCTGCCCTGTGCCTTCGTCCTGGACGGGGGCGAAAGAAAAGAGCGACTGTAACCCGAAGAGAGAAAGGGGGTGAGGAGGAGAAAGCCAGCGTCTCCCCGGCAAGCACCGTCGCCTCCCCAACCCGCCCGCTGCCGGAGAAAGTTCGGTGCCGACTTTCACTCATTCTGCGCCCACACTTTTGCTAGACCCTAAAATGAAACAGAATTTGGCGCTGACCCTCGCAGCTCTGTTGGTGACTGGTGCACGATTAGTGGCATCGCCCGGAGAAAAAGCCCTGCGCGCCTGATTGTTCTGTTCTGTGGCCCCCCAAGCCTGCAGCGTGTGTGTGTGTGTGTGTGTGTGTGTGTGTGTGTGTGTGTGTCTGTGTGTCTGTGTACACAGGCGTCCACACTAACTCGTGGCCACAGGATCTGTCCCCGCGAAGCAGAAGTTTCGGCCACAGACCCGGAGAGGAGGAGCTGCAGAGCAGGAGGCGCGAGCCGCCTGGAGTTTGCAGAGTCCGCGGTGTGAATGAACTGGGGGCACCTGGGCGCAGGGATCGCCCCTCCTTTCCCCGCCTCAGGCCAGAGTTAAGTAGTGGGGCATTTTTTTCACCCTCTTGTGAAGAATTTTTTTATTATTTGTTGTAAAGTCTTTTGCACAATCACGCCCACATTTGGGGTTGGAAAGCCCTAATTACCGCCGTCGCTGATGGACGTTGGAGAGGGAGCGCCTCGCCGCGGAACAGTCGCCTGCGCGCCCTCGCCGGACCCGCGGCTCCTTCCTTGCGCCCCAGCGCGGCCCAGCCTTTGCTGCCCGCCCGCGCACCTCGGCGCCGGCTCCGTTCCCGGGCCCCTCTCGGCGCAGTCCAGCTCGGGAGGCCAAGCCCGGGCGCCCGTGCCCGCTTTGGCTGCGGTTCACTGCGCCCACCCGACGCCCCCAGGAGGACTCTGCTGCCCTGCTCCCGTAGTCTCCCCCCGGCTTAACCCAGCGCTCCGCTTGGATTCCTCGGCCGCCCTCGCCGGGGTGGCGACTTCCTCTCCGCGCCCCCTCCCCGCGCCATGAAGGTAGGTGTTCAGTGCGCCGCCAGCGCTCGCCACTTTTTCTTTCTTTCTTCTTGAAGTTAACCGAGTTCCCTTAACCTCTTCCTAGCCCTCCATTTCTCAGATCCCTCGAGGGGCTGAGCTCCTGCGTGCTTGGCAGGGGCTCTTACATCTTCGCCCTCTCCCACCCGCACCCCACCGCCTCTCCTCACCCCAGCCATTCTGCAAACTTTCTCGACCCTGGAGGAGAAGTGGAGAAAAGCGAAGGCAGAAACAGAGCGGTTCATGGAAGACTTTCATTTTACCCCGAGAGCCTCGAGCGTAATTTACTGTGTATTTTCAGTAACAGGATAATGATTCAATTCAGCAAATATTTATCAGGCGCCCACTGCACGGGCGCCCGGAGAGTGTGTGGCCGGGGCTCAGAAAGGGGTAGGGAGAATTCGTGGTTGGGAGAACCAGCGGCAAGGCTAGGGACCGCGGACCCCAGAGCGGCGCCCTCCCCACCCCTCCCCCACCCCACTCCAACCCCCAATCCCACCCCCATCGCCTGACCGAGGCCAGTTTGCAAGCCTGTCCGGGCCAAAACCTAGAGCGATTTGGGCCCCTGTACCTTTAAGAGTGCCTGGCGGGGGGCCAGCGGGCACCCCGGCTTGGAGAGCGGGGTCGCGTTATTAGCATTATTAGCCGCCGCCGGGTGAACTCGGGCACTTTGCAGCGGTGATGGGGGCGGGGAGTTGTGGTCCGAGTGGCTTTAATCCGGCCTTCGGAGAGCGCGCTCCAACCCCAGAGCCGAGCCTGCCTTGTTCTTTAGAAGCTCTGGGACCTCGGCGTTGGGAGAGCCAGCAGGCAGAGGACAGTTTGTGAACCCGTGTTTGTTTTAAGTGTCAGTTGTGTGTTAACGTCGAGTCACACACCCAGAGGGTCACGGAGAGTTCACTTTTAAAAAAGTTAACTTTTTTCTTGCAGTGTAAGTTGCTATTTTCCAAACAATCTTTACTTTTTCGCCTTATTTCCATTTTTCATGGTCTTTTCCATTTTCTGATGCGTGGAGAGTAAGTTTAGCATTGGAATTAAGATATTTCCGAAAAGCAAACGATCCCCCCTACCCTTTAAGGGGGAGGGGTTTTTAAAAAGCCCCGCAGACCCTAAGCTGTGTTCCCTTTCCAATCAGTGTCTGCCTTTGGGGCCACTTCTCTCCCTACTTCCTTGCTGTTGGGAAGTGATTTGGGTCCTGCTGTGGGATTGCACTTCGTCAACCCTGCGCCTCCACTAACGTACGAACGCAGGCTGCGGGACCTGCCCGAGCTTTGGTTGCTAGGTGGCCTCTCCAGGGAGTTTCAAGGGATCAGACGCTACTGCGAGCACTCAGTGACCTAGGACAGGGTGTGTATGTGTGTGTGTGTGTGCGCGCGCGCGCGCGCGCACGCGCGCGCAGGAGGGCCATGGAGTGGGGATAAAGGGTCAGTAGTCCTCAGGTCGTGAACGTACTAGGCCGTAGCCTTTCCCCCAATGTGTCCTCGGGAAGACCTTCCCTAGGAGGCCCAGCCTTAGTTCCTTGCAGTCTCCTCGCGTCCCCAGGGCGCTCCGGTGCACAAGGGGTTTGCGCAGTGAGCACAGAACTCAGAGCGGTACCCTCGGCTTTTCTCCCCCCGCTGTGCGGTGCCGACTGCCCCCTGTTGGCTGTTGAGAGGTAGGACGCCGCCGGCTCTGGGCCTTGGAGCGGCCAGCTGCTCTTCCTCCTTTGCGCCCCCTCAATCCTCTGGACCACCGCACCTCCTTTACGTATGTAACCCTGGGGGACCCCTAGAGGCGGAGTGAATTGCGCGGCTGCTGGAAGAAGGGGCTGTGGGTCCAACTCAACAAAAGGGGCTCAGACTGCTGGACGAAGGGGTGCCACCTCTTGTAGAAGTAGGAGAGAGGATGTGCTCTTAGGAGGCCTCGGGTGTGGCCTCAGTTATCTCAGTGGCTCTCTTTGTGGTCCCAGGCAAGTGTTGCTTTCCTTCTCATGTCCTTAGTCTCTTATCTAGTAAACAGTGGAGGTGAAATATTTCTGAACTTCGACTGGACTTATTTTTAATTTTCTTTCTTCACGCATCCTGCTCACCTCTGGACAGAGTTGCGCTTTCAGAGAGTCAGATCCCCTGTAGAACACAGTGTAAGTGTTGTGTGTGTGTGTGTGTGTGTGTGTGTGTGCGCGCGCGCGCGCGCGCCAGTTCAAGGTGATGAGGACAGGAAACAGGAGGACCACATAGAGCATGCTTCCCTCAGAGTCTCGCTATTCCTAGTTCTGCCGTCTATTCAAGCCCGGGCATCAGAAGTTGGTCCTGTATCTTGCACCGATTTGGGCTCCAGGCGCAGTCTCTGTCTTCTTTTGGGCGATTCTCTTCCCTCCTAACCCGCTGTGCTCGCGCGCGCGCGCGCGCGCGCACCCCCCCACACATACACGCGGCACTGTGGCACATAACCCATGGCACCATGCACACAGGCTCAAGGCACGGGGAGCAATGAATCCTTTGTTTCCCCAAAAATGGATTTCCTACCATTCTTTTTGGTCCGTTCTTTATTCCTTACACTTCTCGCTGATTTTCCGGATCCCAAGTTTTCGGTTGCTGCGGCGCCCTCGCGCCCCGGCGAAGTGTCTCCATCTCTCTCCCGCTTTAGGAAGAGAGTTGACTGATACAAACAGTTTATTTTCCAGGAACAGTGGAGATTATTCTTGGAGTTTCCCATCCATTTTGTCCCCGAGTGCCCTGGTGAGATGCGCTTCTTCCCCTTAGTTGGCTTCCCTTCTCATTTCCATCCTCAGGCTTGGGCTCCAGAAGCAGAGTCTAGGAGAGAAGGGATGCCCGGACCGAGTGAGGCAGCGAGGTGATGAAGAGTCTAAGATTTAGCCTAGCCTTTGCCTCCTTTTCCTTAAGGGATCGCCTGTGCAGTGGGGGCTGCGCGGGCTTTCCCTGCGCCCAGGACTTTCTCTCCAATCACCCTTCCTCAAGAGTTCCCTCGGCCTTCCCTACCACCCGGCCGGCACTGCGGTTCACATCTTCCTCCCACGCGCAGGCTCTCGGGGAGGCTGAGGCTGGGAGCTGGTCTAGGCTGGAGACCGGGGCGCCCAAACGCCCTCCCTCCTCCTCACCCTAACCCTGCGCTGAGCCCCTCAGATGCCCCCTGCCCTCCTTTTCGGAGCACACGAGTAACAGATACCTGGGGGTCTTACAGAGTGGACTCCGTGGGCCCCTGTTCAAAAACATTTCGTTCGTTCTTTGGAAACAGCTTCTGACCAGAACTTTTGTTTTATCCTGGTGTGAGAGTCTCCCGAGAGGTCTCGTTCCGTACTGTCTCTTCGGATCGGATCTCTTGGTAAACAGATGGTATGTTATGCCCTACAGAGTGGATGTATTTATTACTGAGTTCGCTGTGGGTTTTTTGAGCCTCTCAAACACGTGGGGCCTTTTCTGGGTTGCAACGGGATTGGAGCGGGAAGAAGGCCAAGGTGTTTCCGGGCAAGCGCGCGAGGTTAAGTGGAGACGCTACTCTCGGGGCTCTCCTGCGGGTGCCGCTGGGACACCCCCACCTCCCCTACCCTGGAGCTGGCGAGTCACACGTCTCGGAAACCGGACGAATGGATCCGGGTTGATCCAGGTTCTGAGGAATGGTGGACCCCCCCCCCCAGGCGCCCAGCCGGGAGAGGGTTCGGTTTGTGTGGCTTCGGCTCTAACAAAGAGATCTGCTGTAATCCTCCGAATCTGTTATCAATTTCTCCGCGCCCGGCCCCGCCCCACGCCCCGCCCGCGGCGAAGCTCGGAAAGGGCCCGCGGTCGGCAAAGATCCAGCCGCCGACTCGTAAGCACGTCGGAACCTGTGGGTCTGTGCACGCCTGTGAGTGTGTAGATGTGCAGAAGGGTGTGTGTGGCTGTGTGCGTGCTCGTGAGGCTTCGGCCGCCGTTGGGGAGAGTCGCTTCCTCAGCCGGGCTGCGCGGCGGACCTGGCTGCCCACCCCCGCCCCTGGAAGAAACTTGACACTTGGGGCGGGGGTGGGGAGCGAGTCTGAGCCTCGCTCTCTCAGGCTGGGGAAACCCCAGATTCCCATTCTCCAGGATGCACCCCTAGCTCTGCGGTGCTTTGCAGACTGCAGGGCCCCGGCACTGCGCCCCGCTTGGCCGGCGCAAAGGACCGCATAAGCATGGCCTCTCCGCGAGGCCCGAAGGCGTCCCGGCCCCAGCGGCGGCGCGCCGAGCAAGCCGCGGCGCGCTCCAGAGCTCGGTGGCGTTTCCGCCGCCTCCTGAGACCCTGGAGCCCTGGCGGCGCAGGTTCCTGGCAGGGCCTTCCGCCGCCTGGAGGAGGCTCGCCTTTCTTTCCTTTCCAGAGGAGGGGTCTCCTGCGGGGGCTGCGGGAGGCGCCGCGTCCCCGAGTTGTACTCACCGAGATGTGAACCCGGAGTTTGGAAACCCGCTCCTCCCACAGCTCACGCCTCTCGCGTCGCCGCCTGCAGGTAGAAAGTCACCAGTGGGGAGGCACGGCACGGAAGAGTCCAAGGCCGACTCCTGTCCTTGAACTTCTTCAGGAAGGGACCATTCGCCGCTGGCCCCCTTGGCCTGCACCCCAGGGGTACAGCTGCGGCTCCCGAGCCAGCGCATCTCTGGCCCCTTCGGGAAACTCGTCCTCATCTCGCCCGCGCCCCTGTCTTTTTTCGGAACTAAGCCAGCGGGGTCTGAGTGGGGCTGGAGTGGCGAGGCTGGAGGCGGGGTGGCGGTGTTCCAAGGCCAGGCGCGCAGCGCCGCGACCAGACAGTGGCTGACAACTCCAGACCCGGACCTGGAGAGAATCGAGTGCTTTTGCGATTCCCTTCTCCGAGTTCCGCGGCAGCTGCCAGGCTTGGGGACCTGAGAGTGAAAACTCGGAGTCTGGGGAGAGGTTGCGGGAAGCGCAGGGAGAGTTTCCTCCTAGAGCGGACTCAGACCCCCCGTTTTTCTCCGGGCTTCATCCCTTCTCTCGGTCCAGCGGAGGTGGAGGCCGTAGGCAGGAGGAGGAGGGCACTCTTTTCCGGTTTCCTTGGTTGGGAGAACAGATCTCTCTTCCCGTTATCCCCAAACTCTTCCACTCCTCCCCACCCCAATCTGGTTGAAGAGTGTCCTAAAGGAAGCCGAGGCTGCTCTAACCCCATCTGGAAGTGGCTTTCCCCAAATCGGCCCGTAAACTGATTATGAAACATATGATGTTAATTCGGAGCTGCATTTCCCAGCTGGGCACTGCGCACGTCCCGGCCTCGCCCCCACCCCCTGCCCTTCCCTTCCCTCTCGGTCCTGCCCCCACCCCCACCCGCGCGGCCACCCCGCCTCCTCCGCAGCAGCCGGCGCGCTCCTGCTCCACTCGCCTTCGCGCTCCTCTCGCCCTTGGAATTAATTCTGGCTCCACTTGTTGCTTGGCCCAGGTCGGGGAGAGGACGAGGGTGGCGGCGGGTTCCTGGAGTGAATTCCTGGGGAGGGACCGAGTGCAGCGAGGGGGTACAGGGCTGCAGCAAGCAGGAAGGAGGCAGCGCCTGGCACCGGGGCTTTGACTCAACAGCACTGAGACATGTTTGTAATCGCTGGCGCGCCCCGCGCGCAAGAGCCCAGCGAAATCAGATTTCCTGGTGAGGTTGCGTGGGTGGATTAATTTGGAAAAAGAAACTGCCTATATCTTGCCATCACAAAGCTCACGGAGGAGAAGTGCAGTCAATGACAGTAAACTTAAGAGACCCCCGGATGCTTCTGTTGTTTAAACTTGTAGGCTTGTAGGCTTGAAAATTATCCGAGAGGCAATAAACATCTGCTCCTTTCTTCCCTCTCCAGAAGTCCACTGGAATATTAAGCCCGGGAGTGGCTTTGGGGACGGCTCGAAGTGCAATGTCTTCCAAACTCTTCCTGATGGCTTTGGCCATATTTTTCTCCTTTGCCCAGGTTGTAATAGAAGCCAATTCTTGGTGGTAAGTCCATTTTGTGTGCATATTCTTCTTTTTAAGAGTCGTTTGTATGATGCTGCAATATTTAAAAGAGGAGAGTGGGTCTGCATGCATTTATCTAATATGTTGTGTATAGTATATTTTACCCCTGCATATTTTAATTCAGGATTTTCTTTTAACTTTCTAATATTATAAAGCTGATCTTCATAGGGAATCAGAACCTATAAATCTAGCCCTTTTCCTGTGAAGTGCTTATGCAGGAGTGTGCTAAAAGGGAACAGAAATTCACTTTTCTAATAATTGTAAGCCTATTTATCAAACTCACTTTGTGCCACCTCTATGTAGTAAAAGTGACTTTCACCTTTTATTTCCTGATGCTGGAGGCCCAGAATCAGATGTAGCAGGGTCATAGGAAGAGGGCTCAACTCCCAAGTGGAGAAATGTGTAGGCTTGTATTTGATCAAAGGAACTGAACTTGAAGTTGTCAGATGCCCCTAAGGGCCTCGGTTCTGGAAGGACCTTGTAGACAGGCTGCAGAATATCCAGAGGGTCATTTCTGATGGCGCCCTGGATATTTTTCCCTGTAAATGAACAGCATTTTTCTGTCAAACATGACTTCTGCTTACTGGATACCCTGTCTTGGGTCCTTCATAATCACATAAGGAGGCCTTAAGAAATGTGCTCTCTCTACTTGTCCCTCTGTTCTTGCTGTCTCCTGCCAATGTCTATGTTCGGCATTTGTATTTTCAAGGCAGATCAATCTAATTTGTGGGGCAAAGTGAGTCATTTTATCCAGTCAGTAGCTGGTCCCCCCAAACCACCATTTTCTCCTTTTCTGAGTGGATGTTGGAAATATTATTCTGATATACAGGACAGCCAGGGGCAAGGAAGAGAGGGAAAATGCAGAGGAGCCCAGATGGTGGATGAGGACTGCACAATACCTCCGTTTTCTGAGTGGAGTTTAAACAGAGGAGTTTTATAAGCCCTTCTCATACTTTGTCATGAGGACAGCAGGAGAGAAAAAGCATCTGTGTGCCTGAAACTATGTATTGCTGACATGCTTTCAGGGGGCCTACCTCAAGAGCTCATGTAAATCTTGAATGCACCCCCCCTGCAGGTCGCTAGGTATGAATAACCCTGTTCAGATGTCAGAAGTATATATCATTGGAGCGCAGCCTCTCTGCAGCCAACTGGCAGGACTTTCTCAAGGACAGAAGAAACTGTGCCACTTGTATCAGGACCACATGCAGTACATCGGTGAAGGCGCGAAGACGGGTATCAAAGAATGCCAGTACCAATTCCGACATCGGCGGTGGAACTGCAGCACTGTGGATAACACCTCCGTCTTTGGCAGGGTTATGCAGATAGGTAGGAAGCCACTTAACATCTGTGGATTTTTTTTTTTTTTCCTAGCAAAAATCTTCAGTGCTTGCTTGAGTGCTTGGTGGATCAGGTACCTTCCAGCCTGGGGGATAAGTTGGAAAATTCTGTCAGAGTGAGGAATAGTATTAATTGAGGTCCCCACAGCTGATGATATATTTTGGCCTTTTTTTTTTTTTTTTAAACCAAACCAGCAGGAGCATCACAGACACCTTAGTTCTTCTGAACACTTACTTTTTCTAAACTGCGTTTTGTTTAAAGTAGTAGCAGAATACTTATTTTGGTTTCTCAAAAGTAGATGTGGGAAGCTGAGTCATTTAGATTCTTTTAGACTTAAACTCTGATGTTATAAATTTCATAAGCTACAATTCAAATAGCCCGAGCATCCAGCTAAAAGCTGTGATCTCTCAGAATGCTGGATATGTTGGTAGCGAACAAGATCTTAATTTTCTTAACATAGATACTTGTTAAGTATCTTGTTAATTTTCTTAACATAGATACTTGCAATGATATATATGTCAAAAACTTTATTTTTAGTCCCAGAAAAAATTTACTTAGAAGTGATCTAATTTATGTGTGTAATTTTGACAATTGACAGAAAATCATATGCTTGTGTTCTCAACCTAGAAACTTAAAAAAAGTTTTAAATGTATTGCTTACAGTCTGAGATTTAATTTTAAATATGTTGTTGAACTTGTCATTCCATTTGGGAAGGAGATAGCATGTAAATTACTGGGCTAAAGGCAAAAATTTTAAAAACTCACTTAGCCTCTGGTTTGGTTTCCTAGTTTGGACAGATGTAGTCTTATGAGTGTTTTCTAGTGTGAATATTTTTGATCTCTTTGCTCTTATGCAAACAAGTCTTTATAATTAATATGACTGTAGTCATATTATAATAAAAAGTAATTTATCAAATCAATTCACTGTTTATATTGAATGACGATAAAAAATTGGCCTAGTGTCCACAGATGGATAAAACACTTTTTCTAAAAACACTGAAAAGTGCATTCATTGAGAACAAAAAAGAGTTGTCAGTGGACGTTTGAGCCAAGGGGCTTCATAAACTAAACTAATTCAGAATTTGAAGCCGTTCCTCCAACTGAATGGGAAAATGGCCTGTGGCCCCAGCCTGCAAGTTTCCTAGAGCTTTGTCCTTCCTGTTAATGATTAAAATGTGCTGATGCATATACTGAGATCAGAGCGAGGGGTAAGCTCAGGAGCCCAGGACGCAGGGATGTCTGTCTTCTGTAGTTGACTGGGGATGTGGTAGGAACTTAATTCTCCATTCTGCTATTGTTGGAAGAACTAAAGACTTAAAAAAAAAAAAAAAAAAAAAAAAAAAACTATCAGACTGGCTCGTCAGCTGTCAGTTTCCCCGCTTCTTCCAAACCCTTTAACTGTGTGCCTCTCAGACTTCAGGACCACTTTCTCATGAGGATACCGTTAGCCAAAATCCTACACCTCTGACGTTAAGCAGAAGGGAAAGGGCAGTGGGAGCCCTTTTCTGTGGAGTCCCGTAACACAGATTTCATCTAACACTGTCTTCTCATCTTCATACATGGCCTGCTTAGGGTCAGAATGTTCAGAATAAGCTATCATTTACTAAATGAATTTGAGTTCTGCCAGAGATTTATTTTAAATGCCGTCCAAGATTCAAAGGGCCTGCTTTCCCAAGGAAAATTCTTGTGCAAAGGCCTGTGTTTAATTGTCCCTGGAAAGTACTCAGTCCTGGGTTAGGTGGCACTTCCGTCTGTGCTGATAGTCTGCGGGTAGGAGGGTGCCCCAACAGCCTCTGAGAGGCCTCCTGGAAGTTGGGGTTGAGTCAGCTGCTGTCTTCAGAGTGGGAGAACCAGGCCAAAGGCTGCAAGGACCTGGTGGCTAGAAGTAAAACCTGCGGCTGGGTGGCTTGTGATGGTCTTCTTATTTGTAAGAAGAGACAGAGATGGAGGAAAACTAGGTTAAGAACCAAGATCCAACTCCAATAGTGGGAAAGTGACCTTGCCTTCATTTCTCCACTTTAGGGAATGTCTGAGCTAAGGGACAGTTTAAGCCCTTTTGATACCCAAAGATGTGTATGTGCTCACCCCAAGCAAGCAGTACCCGTGAGACACTGGAAGTAATTCTTATCTGTTGGAACCTGACCCTGTGGGGGGCTAGGGTCTGAGAAACTCAGCTGGCACCTCCTGCCCCCTCCTCAACTCATTTTTCCAAGGTGCCAGCTGCCTCGGAGGCACCATGCACAATTGTCTGAGGAGGGGCCTGCTCTTCATTTTGGAAGCTTCCTCATTTTTCATCATGCTATCCTTTCCTTCCAGCCTTTGTGCCTGGCTTGTCTTTGTTTCCACACTGAAAAGATGTCAGAAGGCACCATTTTTAAGGGGTGTGAGGATCCAAGTAAATGTAGACTTACACAGAGGAAACCGAAGTAAATCAGTGATCTCCCCGCTGAGGTGACTGCAGCCACAGGCTGGTAGCCAGAGGGCACTTTTCAGACTGACGTTTTCTACTGCCACACCAGTTAGCTTAGACATTTCTACAGGTTTGTGTTCTGTGGCAAAAAGGGCAATGCTCAGTATAGACGTAGGGAAGCAGCAGCATTACTGTGTTTTGTTGACAGCCTTGTATATTCTGTGTACTCAAAGGACTGTGTTTTACTTCCCTCTATCCTCAGAGGATTGCTTTATCTCCTCTGATTGTAGCCATAGTCTCTTTATTCTGCAAGCCTCCTGTCTAGGGCCACTGCATTTTCCGAGCTATTAGTGTTAATCCTCAGATAGCATCTTTCTGCTCTCCTTCTTTGTCTCCTTTCTCCTGACTTTCCTTGAGCTGCATAGATGTCCTGCCCCGAGGAAGGAACTTCAGGATCCTCCTGCCAACCACCAGTGTATGCCTCGAGTTTTTCATTTTTAAAATGTGGGAGGGGAGGGTCTGTGGTGAGTCAGAACCCTCACCATTGCAGGAAGCAGGCCCACACAGGGGGCTGCACTCAAGTATGGGCATGGAGCCCCAGGAAAGGGCGGTCTGCTGGGCCCTTGGCTTGGTGTGGCCGCCCTCCTGCAGAGCAAGCCTTTCCTTTTGGGGCCAGTCCTGTTGTCAGCTGTATTTGTGTCCCCCACCCATTGTTAGTAAGCTCTCAAAGCCAGTTGAGGAGAAACTGATTCCAGGATAGGGATTTTAATGCTAGAAGGGACCTTTTTCATAGACATTTATTTCACCCCTTATTTTACAATTGAGGAAATTGAGGGCCCCATTCTCTCACCCCCAGGCTTAGCCTTGGCTGGCTATGAACTTCTTCCCAATCATAGTATGACACTTCTTTATTGTGGCTTCTTATTACATGACAGAGTTCAATATGCAAGTGGAGTTTAAGGCAGTCTCTGATGATCACCCTTCTCCTTACACATCTATAACTTCTTACACTTCTATAACTGTGTTACAAGGAGATATTCTTTGCTGATATCGGGGAGGAAGAAAAACTTTCTCCTCCCCTTTTCTAGATTATTATTATTATTTCTTCTTCTTCCTCCTCCCCTTCCTCCTCTTGCTCTTCCTGCTCCTCCTCCTCTTCCTTCTCCTCTTTCCCTCCTCCTTTTCCTTCTTTATGTCATTTTTAATACTTTGAGGCAGAGTCCATGGGTCAGGGTGCTGGTGGGCAGGGATAGGGTGGAGGAGCAGGGATGGTGGCTGAAGGAGCATTAAACAGAGGGGTGTCAGAGAGTGGACACACACATTCTTGAGTGAGAAGTACTAGTCCAATCAGCTTGGGATTTAAGAAAAAGCCGATTTCATGTAGGCCTCTCTATGAACAGGTTAGAGCTGTCCTGAGGGAAAGGGAAGGGCCTTGTGCAGTGACACTGAGCCGCAGAATAGAAGAGGAAGGAGGTTACAGCTGCCAGAGGAGGAGGGTGTGTGGCCACACCAGTGTGGGCAGCACCTGGCTTCCTCTGCAACCTTCAGGCTTTCAGAGGCATAAAGCCTAAGGAATTCAGTGCTCCTCCTGCTCAGAATGAAAATCATGTCAAATCTAAGAATAAGGATAAAGACGTCTACCCAGGTTCTGAGCTTTCCTTCAATGACTCCTTTTATGTGCATTTTTGGACATATTTTTGGATATAAGTTTTGAATATCTTCAAAAGAGTCACAGAGAAAATCAATCCAGCTCTGCTCCAGCCAGTGCTGATTTGGGCTCAGTGTCAGAGCCAGAACACCAAGGATCTGCTGCTTCTTTGTGATCTGTGGCTCCCTGTGGCTTCTGGCAGCCTGGGGTCACAGCCTGGGTGTAGGTGAGGATGGGGCCATGGCTGGGCAGCTGGACTTCTCAGTGCCTGCCCTCCTCCAGAGGCTGCAAGTGTGCTGGAGCTCTCCCTGTCCCCCTGCCTGGGTGGGGGGAAGACCCAGGTACACCCCAAGAGCATCTTCTGCCTTCCCCAGTGAGGTGCAGCGCTGGCCTGTCAGGGCTCACCCTGCCCACTAGCAGGGCCTAGGGACAGCATGGCACGTGCGTGGGGCCAGGAGTCCTCCCAGGCCCCTCCCTTGGGGTGCAGGCCGGAAGTGCCTGGGCTCACCGCCCTCTGCTTTGGGGGAAGGGGCAGGGCTGGCGTGCGTCCACCCCGCCCCGCAGGCCGGTGACCCCCGTCCTCGTCCGCAGGCAGCCGCGAGACCGCCTTCACCTACGCCGTGAGCGCCGCGGGCGTGGTGAACGCCATGAGCCGCGCGTGCCGCGAGGGCGAGCTGTCCACCTGCGGCTGCAGCCGCGCCGCGCGCCCCAAGGACCTGCCGCGGGACTGGCTGTGGGGCGGCTGCGGCGACAACATCGACTACGGCTACCGCTTCGCCAAGGAGTTCGTGGACGCGCGCGAGAGGGAGCGCATCCACGCCAAGGGCTCCTACGAGAGCGCGCGCATCCTCATGAACCTGCACAACAACGAGGCGGGCCGCAGGGTGAGTGGGGGCGCTTCGCCCCGGCCCCAGCAGAGCCCTCCGTCTTCTGCCTCTCTTCCTGCCTCCCCTGCCAACTCTTCCTGCTTTCTCCTGCCTTAAAAATGTCCTCCCGCCCTGTTTCAGCCTCTTCCCCCTTCCCTTCCAGCCCCCCTTTCCTTTCCCCTTCTCTCTTCTGTCTGTCCTGGGTCTTCCCAGGGTCCTCTCCGGAGAGGGGTGCGCACCCAGGAAGCCCGCCCAGGCCCAGGCCTGAGCTGTCCTCCTGGAGCCCAGCCTGGGTGCCTGAGGAAGGCTTTTCAGCCAGTGGCCCATGCTATTGGCCAACAGAGCCCAGAACTGCAAATAGCAATGTTAACAACTCCTCCCCTCCCATGGAACATTGAGGGGACACCACCCCCACTTGTGAGAGAATTTAACCTTAACCCCAATGGGGGCCCTGCTGAGAAGGACCTCACCCCAGCTGTGGACCTTCTCTTTGCCCTCCAAATGTCTGAGAGAGTTTTAAAAAGGGATTTTCTAAGAAAACAACAGCGTTTTTAGCAGCGAGGAATTTCATAGGTCTGACCATCAGACTGCTGCCAGGGGTCTCTAAAGAGGAGCCGAGGACAGCCCCAGCCCTGCTGAGTCTCCTGGGTCCCCTCTTCCTTCCCTTGGCAGGGATGTGAAAAGTAACTCCACAGGAGTTTAAAAAGAACCCCCTTTCCTATGGTGCAACACATGGCACTTTATGGCTGCTTTCAAATGAAGGGGTGAAAGCTTAACTTTGGCAGCACCGAAAACCAGGGAGATTATTTTTTTCACAGAACCCAAGGTAGGTGCCAGGAATTTTCTGGTCAGAGATTTCACTCTTCTGTATTTTGGGGTGAGGGAAAAAGGAAGATAATCACAGAGTAGACCATACAGTACTGGACAGGGCCATAGGACTTTTGGTCCTATACCTCACGTCACAGATTGGGAAACTGAGGCCCAGAGAACTACGCTGTGTCTGTGGAAGAAAACGAACGGATTGAAATATAAGCCCAGGGCCACTCACATTCCATTCATGCCGCCCACGCTAGCAGGGAAGAGTTGGAGGTTTTGGATCAAGAGAAATGTGGCTTGCAGTTCACTTCTCTGTGTTCCTGTGGGTTTCTGGGCCTCAGTTTCTACATTTCCATGTGTCAGTGACCATGACAGGAACTCTCAGTTGGGGTTACTGGGAAGACCAAGTGAGATCATGGAGTGGTTTGAATTATACAAAATTGCCAATACTCGACTTTAACCTAGAAAATAATATTTGAAGCAGTCTTAGGGTTTGGTTTTAGAGCTGGCCAGTAGTGAGTGCTTGATAAATGATAACTTAATTATTAAACATTATGATGTAAAGGATGTAGAAAAGGCACAGATTGTGTAGATAATTCTGGCTCACTAATCTGCTCTTCAGGTTTGATGTTAAATACTTGGGGTGTCAGGAAGTATTAAACTGCGAAATTTTGCTTGCACTGCCACGAGGGCTCACATAGTGCCCGGAGGGGAGCTGTGGCTTCTCTCTTCCCCAGGTTCTTCCTGCTGGGGGACTTGCAAGGTGGGTTGGCTCTCTGGCTGGTGGCTGTCACTGGGCCATGTGGGGGCAGGTCAGCAGGCTGACCCAGACTCTTTGGCTCCCACCATGGTCAGGAGCACAGGTCTCCAGGACAGAGGTGCTGTGTCCAGCCTTGTGCCCACAGCTCTGCCTTCAGCTATCACTGTGCTTTCCCAACGCTTCCATGCTTAACAAATCATGAGGGGCTTGACAGCCAAGGAGAGAGGACTTAGGAAAATAGGGAAGCACTCCTGATGTATCAGTTTGCTTAGTACCTGCACTGACGCGGGGAGCTGACTGTGGCCCCTGGGGCCTGGGGTTACGTAGAAGACAGCTTTTCTCTGGGACGGTCGGGGGAGCAGTGTGGAGTGGGCCCTTGGCCAGGAAATCATATTAGAATTTCTTCAGAGGATTAGCTTTTTATTTCCTCAAAGGGGAGCAAAGGTTAAATATGTTTACAGAACCTTCTTCAGGCTAGCTAAGTGCATGAAAGTCCTTATGCCAAGAGCGTACACTTTGGCCTCTTTGCAAAGAAGGCCCTTAGGACTCCCTGGAGGAAGAAGGTAACTTTTTGGGTGGACACGGCCTCCAGTATCCTGATGGGCCCTGGTCAGCACAACGACCCACATGGACTTGGGAAGGTAGCTGTGGGCAGTAGGAACAATGAATAGGCAGCTAACACCTCCCAGACTGCGGGGCAGACACACAGGCACTGCTACTAGAAGGCTGTGGCCACTGGGCAGCAGCCCAGACACAATGCCCATCACCCTGAGGGAGACCAGGCTTACCGATGTGCCTTCATGCCAAGTGCTTCCCATGCCTCCCTGAATTGTATCCTTCTAGCAGTGCCCTTTCCTGGGAAAACGGAAACTTAGAAAGATGCAGCTGGTTCTCTTAATTCAAGGGCAGAGGCAAGAGCAGAATCCCTATCTGCCTGGCTCCGAGGCAGATGCTCTTGGCTAAGGGAGGCTGTCAGCAGGGAGGAGCCCTGCCTCCCCTATGCAAGTGAGGGCCCTGAGATCCAGTTCCCCCACATTCTAACAGGCCGCTTGCACTCCTGTGTCACTGTACCCTCCTCTAATCCAGCCCACATTATGAAGCTGCTGGAGTTATTCAGTGAGATCAAGAGTGGAGTGGTTTCAGGACAGCATCTAGCATGCAACAGTTAGAGCAGGAGTGGTGAAAGATTTGAACCCTCAATCCACTGGGGCCGGACCCTTCCCAGCTCTGCACCTACTAGCTGGTTACCCAGGGGCAAGCCACTGAGCATGGACATGAAGACCAGCTGTGTGGGTTCAAATCGTGGTACTGTACCTTGCAATGGTTAGAGTACCAATGCATCTCTCTGGGCTTCACTTTCTTTGTCGGTGAAATGGGGGTGATAATTTTATGACCGTTCTGACCTCAGGGAAGGAAATGTGAACAATCTGTAGGATGCACGCTCATGCCTTTCTGCTTATGTTTCCCTGCACGAGAAGAGGTAACTGGAATGGTTTATTTTCTTCCTGTTCCCATGGAGGTTAGTGAGTGGCTAAAGCGTATTTATTTGTAGAGTTTTTAGTCTTTTTTTGTACCTGGTATCAAGCTCAGGCCCTCACGCTTGCCAGGTAGACACTGCACCACTGAGGTACATCCTCTGGCTCTTTGTAGAGGTTTTAATAGAAGGCGATACACGACTTCCGGTGGCAGAGAGTAAGATAAAACAGCCCCTGTGCAGCTGATCTGATGGAGAAGGTGCACGGGAGCTGCGGCCCATGCCCATGTCTTCATGTCCATGTCTTGGGTCCCCCTGGAGTCTGCGTACTGACCTATCTGTTTTCCTGCAGACGGTGTACAATCTGGCCGACGTGGCCTGCAAATGCCATGGGGTGTCCGGGTCCTGCAGCCTCAAGACGTGCTGGCTGCAGCTGGCGGACTTCCGCAAGGTGGGCGACGCCCTGAAGGAGAAGTATGACAGCGCGGCGGCCATGCGGCTCAACAGCCGGGGCAAGCTGGTGCAGGTCAACAGCCGCTTCAACTCACCCACCACGCAGGACCTGGTCTACATCGACCCCAGCCCTGACTACTGCGTGCGCAATGAGAGCACGGGCTCCCTGGGTACCCAGGGCCGCCTCTGCAACAAGACCTCGGAGGGCATGGACGGTTGCGAGCTCATGTGCTGTGGCCGTGGCTATGACCAGTTCAAGACGGTGCAGACGGAGCGCTGCCACTGCAAGTTCCACTGGTGCTGCTACGTGAAGTGCAAGAAGTGCACCGAGATTGTGGACCAGTTTGTGTGCAAATAGTGGGTGCCCGCCGTCACCCAGCCCTGTGCCCAGGACCCACTTATTTATAGAAAGTACAGTGACTCGGGTTCTTCTTTTTAAAAATATTTTTATTTTTCCTCAAGAAATGCAACCGGAACCATATTTTTTTCTGTTACCATCTAAAAACTCTGTGGTTTATTATTAATATTATAATTATTATTTGGCAATAATGGGGGTGGGAACCAAGAAAAATATTTATTTTGTGGATCTTTGAAAAGGTAATAATCCAAGGCTTCTTCTGCTAGTATAGGATGAGAGGGAAGCAGCGCACACCCCAGCCTGGGTGTGTGGATGTAGCACACACCCAGCAAGTAAAGGTAATGCGTATTTTTCTTAGCTGTGGAGTCATCTGGGATGGTAAGGTCCAGCCAGAGTGCCCTGGTACGAATGTGTGCATGATTCAGCTTCTAGGACTAAAACGAACTCTGAATGCTCTGGGCAAGACAAAAGGTCTTGAGAAAACAAGCAAAAACACAGAAAATGAGTGACCCAATTTCCTAGGGGCTGACAGTTTGCAAAATATTTGCAAAATTATGATTTAAAAATATATAAGAACAAATGTCTCATCTCTTCAAAGAAAAACAGGTATAACATGAGCTGCATTCTCCAATGCCCCGTCTGCAGGTTGTCTGTTGTCTAGTAGCTTAGGAAACTTGGAGAGCCAGTTAAGTAAAAATTGGGGCAACAGAAAAGTGCCCAGAAATTAGAAAATTTGGAATCTTCTAGATGGCGTTACCTAGGTGTTACCTCAAACAATTCTGGAGACCAGACTTCTTTGGGAGGGATGTGTTGGGTTGGACATAAAGAGCAATACCTTGTCATTGTGGTAGAGATTGGCCTGGTTCATAAGTGCCAGTGAAAATAACACCTGAATTCCATTCACAGATCTTCAGCCCAGACATCAAGGTGATTGCATGCAGAGCAGGAAACCCCACTGAGGAAATAAGTGAAGCCCACTTTCCTAGCTGGCCCCACACCCTCTCTGGTCCCTCTGTGCCATGATGTGGTGCTGGCCACGCTCTGCTGGGTCCCGTGATTGTAGGACAGGAAATGAAACATTAGTTCTGAAAAATAGTTTGCTACTTAGGGATTTTTCCCCCTAAATCTTTTACTTTGAGACACAGTAAGTTCTAGTGCTTTGATGGCATTACTTAGCTAACAGAGTCCACAGAGGCATCATCGTGTTCATTGGTAGAGTCCTGTGTTTATCCATCCACTTGTGCTTTCCTAGTTACCCTGCAGGTGCACCCTCAGACTGTTCCTAATGTACTGGGGCAGTTGCATTTATAAGAGAGTGACGTGTTTTAATGGTGCCTAATATCTCAAGTCTTTTGTACATATCATATATATATATATATACATATATAAATATAAATATGATTATATCTCAGTGCAGCCAGGATTTATATTTACAGGTTTACTCTGGGCATGTTTCTATCTGGAACATTGCTGTCCTTCACTGCAGCCCAGTCGGGGATTTTCCAAGTGTATTTTGAATCTTGTGTTTGGCCTGTGGCCCTGCTGGGCTCATACCCTGAGCACCAGGAAACTTGTTTCTGAGGAAGCTCGGGAATCCCATTCACTGACATGCATGTTGGTTTGGAGATTGCTTTCTCTGTCCTGCTCGCACCCTCACCTCCAGCTTGCCGGTTGTGTTCTCTGTGGAGAGGGCATTGTGTGTTCCTCATAGTCGTGGACATTAGATACACCTTAGTGGCATCTCGCTGTGCCTAGTGTGTTCCACAGGGTGGACACGGGTGCCTGTTGGATCTGGTGATACCTGTTTGAGTCCCTAAGGAGGAGCTAGCTCACTGAATAGACTGCTAGTTTAACAATTTTTTAAAACAAGGACACCTCTTTCCCCAGAGTGCTATCAAATGTGTTCTTATCTCAGATGGTCATTGTTTTAAGGGTTTGCAAAACTGCAGATCTCCTGTACCCTTCATGGGCTTGGTGGCCTTTATATCACCTCAGCCAAGTAGCTCTTAATTTATTGCACAAGGGTGTTCACTTCCCCTCAGCTGCAGTGAATTGCAAGCAAAAGATCTTGAAATTAAAAAGCACTATTGAGTTTAAAATGTCACTTTTTTGGTTTTTATTCTACAAAAACCATGAAGTACTTTTTTTATTTGCTAAATCAGATTGTGTTCCTTTTTAGTGATTCATGTTTATGAACAGAGTTGAGTTTAACAATCCTAGCTTTTAAAAGAAACTATTTAATGTAAAATATTCTACGTGTCATTCAGATATTATGTATATCTTCTATGGCCTTTATTCTGTACTTTTAATGTACATATTTCTGTCTTGTGTGATTTGTATATTTCACTGGTTTAAAACAAACTGAGAGGCTTATGCCAATGGAAGATAGAATATAAAATAAAAGGCTACTTGTATATTGGGAAGTGGTTTTAGTTGTCCTTTAGATAATTCACACAGAGATTTTTGGAAGAGTTGTGAAGGATAGCTTAGGATAACTACATGTTAAAGTAATGGAAGAGTGGAGAATTTTACAAAAACCAAACTATTTGGAAGCTTCAAAGGATTTCTATATGTAGCAGAACAAAAGGAGAATTCTCTTTTCCTATATATGATCCTAAAAAAAATCAAGCAGATGGCTTAAAGCTGGCTGTAGGATTGCTCACATTCTTTTAGCATTATGCATGAAACTTAATTGTTTTAGAGCGTGTTGCTATTGTAACATCCCAGAGAAGAGCTCGAAAGGCACACACTTTTATCCGTGACCAGAGTGCTAGTCTCCCCACCCGCCCCAAAATGTGTCTTTGTGTTTACCACTGCAACAGTTGCACCTCTGTCTTTGAATTCACTGTGGACCATGGGTGACGCTTTCCTGCCCCTTGGAAAGCTGCTTTTAGGAAAAGAAAACCTCAGTCAGCAGAGAATGAAAACTCTGGAAACTAAAGGTTTGTTGTGTTAAGTGCAATCCATGCGAGTGCATGTGTTTTATGCAGATGTGCACTGAGGCTGGCATCCGCTGCTCAGACTGATCCTTTAGCCCTTTGCTTTTCTCTTTCCAGATGACCTTGTAACATTGAAACCTCCTAAGGATGCCAAGAATACATTATTTAAAAAAACCAGTAGATCAACATATACAGTATTTAAAATAGCATTTCTGGGCAAATTCAAACGCTGTGGTTCTAGGACTCACATCTGGTTCAGTTTTTCCTGACTTGTATATTGACCAGTGTTCTTTATTGCAAAAACATATCCTAGATGTAGCAGTGTCAGCATATTTTTCTTCTCATCCTTGGGTACATTCAAAATCTTCCCAATGTGGAAAATTAACTAAAAAATGTATACATAGGCAATGCCGAATAGAGCCATGTTCAAGAGAACCATTATGGGAAGGTTTTGTGCTCCAGTCTCATCTCTCCATTCAGTTCCTTGAGTTTCTTGGCTACCTGTGGCTGGCTCTATGGAGGCTGGAGCAGCCTCCCAGCTCACCACTTCTCCAAGATCAGTTTTCAGGTGGTTTCTGCAAACCCATTCAAGCCACTGGCATGATCAGGTATGCTGTGGGAGTAGGGTGCTAGGTCCTCCAAATGGAAGACTGGTACCGGCTGACCCAGGAGATGAGCAGCAAAAGTAGCCCTCAAAGACTGAAGGGCTCAGGAGCAGGGAGTACATGGCTGGAACAGGTGCGCGTAACTTGAAGCATATTGAATGCAGAAGACCATCAAGGTGCGGGTCTAAAATACTGCATTAGTACTGTAAATATACATTAAAATATTTATTTTTTAAAAAAGTATTTCCTAGTCTTCCCCTCTATTGAATGGTAAAAATGTGGTGTCATGTTTTGAAAGATGACGAAACACATTTTTAATTCAGGAAACATTCAGAGATCTAGGAGTTGAAACTTATGAGACCTAATGACTTGCCTATCAACAAAATTTATGCTTACATCTGGTGCTTTCATAGGGAAATACCTTGTTAACCAACTTTAAAACATGGATGTATAGTAATTAAAGATTGGAATTTTTAAAAAAAATGTATCACTTTGAATCTAGAAGGTTAAATGAAAATGCTGTCTCAGTATTTCAAAAGCAAAAAGCAATGGATTAAATTGCATTTAAGACCATTTTTATATGCAGTGTACAATTTGTTGGGCTAGAAATGAGAGAAAGATTATTTATTTTTATTCATATCTTGTACTTTTCTATTAAAATAATTTTGTGAAATCCGGTGCAGTCGTGTGTGTGTGTGTGTGTGTGTGTGTGTGTGTGTGTGTGTGTGTTTAGCAGAGCAGTGTGTGTGTTCAGGTTTGGTGGGAACCTGGGTCGTGGCACCTGGGCTGCTGCAGCTGTTGGTATCATTGAAAGCTCCAAGGGTTTGCATTACTGGCTTAAGAATCCAGAAAACACACTAATAATAGTTTCAGGCATGTAGACAATATTACGCTTGAATGTCAAGGATTTACTTTGTACTCTAATGCTCATTTTCTTCTATTGATTGCTAGTTTTTTCCATTTCTTACTCGCTCTGCTGCTGTTGATGTGTTGAGTTGTATTGGAGGTTATTCTACAGAGTAGACAGCTTGTACAGAGAAATGGGATTACTGAAAAATTCCAGGGCAAAGGAAGACAGTGCTCTGGGGGGAAAAGTAAATGATGTTTGAGATGCAGAAGAGATCAGATCACCTAGAATATTCTGCTTGTTGCCTTTTTCACTTTGCAGTGGTTGCCAGTGAATTGCTTAGATCAGAGTTCTCCATCTTGATGCCATTGACATTTTAGGGCAAACCACCCTTTGTTGCAGAGACTTGCCCTTTGTGGTGTTTAGCAATGTCCTGGCATGGACTCACTGGATGCCAATGTCAGTGTTCTACCTGTGATGGCACAAAATGTTTCTAGACATTCCCCAATGTGCCTTGGGGACCAAAATCCCCACTAGGAGAAAACCTGGGCTTCAGACGGAGGATACCAAGGTTTGGGTCACTTGGGGAGTCCAGGATGACCTCATTGGGGTACTGATTGCCTGACAAGAGACACAACTTGCCTGTGAGTTTCACCAGGTAGATTTGGAGGTCTAGTGAAGAAGGTAAGTTCTGGGGCCAGATGCTTTGGGGTCAGACACCAGTGCTGCCCCTCACAGTTCACCTTGTAGAGGTTGCATAAAGTCTCCATGCCCTGAACCCTTTGTCTTTACAATGGGAGCAACTGCTTGTCTTTTGAGGTTGTTGTGAAGATAAGTAGGTGTTTTGAGCAGGTCTTGCTGTGCTTGAAGAGTTCAATAAACTGGCTAGGAGAGGAAGAGGGTAAGGGTAGGGGCTAGGGGTGAGCGTGAGGGCTCTGCAGAGGCAGCATGGCTGAGCTGCTGGGCACTCAGTGCTGTTGGCTCCCTGCGAGGACAGCACCCTGTAGGCGGCTGCAGACTTGGGTCCTGCCTTCTGTGTCACCCTTCCAGGTCTTCCAGATGTGCTGCCCTTAATTCGCATAACATTAAAGAAATACTCCAATTAGCTGCCAATGTTTAAATGAGGAGCACAGTATTTTCACATTAACATTTGTGTTCCTGGAATAAAAAACAGGAAGAGTTGGCCACTTAGCTATGTTTGTTCCAAGTCTCATGTAGCAACAACCAGCCAGATTCAAGCAGCCTCTGTTCCCTTTTGCACGGGGCTGGGCATCTCCACTTAGCTGGTCGTTTATGCCATGTAACTTGGCTCCTATAAGCCTTTGCATTGTGATGGTTTTTAACAGTTTGTCAGTCAAGGTTTCTTCACTTTAGCATTCTTAATGTTTTGGGTTGAATGAGTCTCTAATTTGGAGGCAGTCTTCCAAATAAAGGATGCTTAGCCTCTACCCTCTGAATGCCATGAGCACCTTCTCACCATGACACCCAAAATATGTCTATAGACATTGCCCAGATGTCCTCTGGGGAGCAAAATCACCCCAGGTGAAAACCACTGTTCTATACCCAAAATGTGTGCACTTACACACTAATCAGCGAGGTTAAAACAAAGAAATAAATCATGAAAAAAAATTATTTCAGAGCAAAGAAATGCCTAACATATTACAACAACTCAATAAATATTTAATGAGTGTATGAAAAGCATATCCTGTCCCCGTTTTGGCCCTTCCACTCACCTGCAGTGTGGCCTTGAGCAAATTCTTGGTCCTCTCTGATGTTAGTGTCCTCAGGTGGGACATGGGTACAAAAGTAGCCTCTCAATTAGGGTTGGTATTTAAATAACATAACCCGCAGAAGGCTGGCCCCAGAGCCAAACAATAGCAGCACTTTAATAAAAGGTAGAAAAAGTTTATTTTTTTTAAAGAGGCAGTAAATCACCAGCTAAATTTTCCTAGCCACAGAGCCAAATAAACATGAGCTTTCTGTGCTTTGTGTTGAGCTGTGGCTTCTAAAGAGCCGTCACTCACAGAGGCAGGGAAGCTCAACAAGAAGCATTTCATGGCCAAACAAGCTGGGAGATGGTGAGTGATGGACCAGGGTCCCGCTGAGAGATGTAGGAAGTTCATTAGCATATTGGCAGCACTATAATCAAAGAGGGCAGGAAGGAAACTGCTGTTGGACCTGGAGTTTGTGGCACCTGTTGCCTCCTGCTGGGTGGGTTGGGAAGGGGTGCTGGGAGGACCCTCTCTGGCTGTGCCCTCTTGAGATCCAGCATGAGGTGGGCTAGTGCTGGCAGGGAATGCTCCCTGGTGACGAGCTGGAGAGCTGTGCTCATGAAGGGGTCCCTGGAGGGCGTGATTATCCCCTTCACAACCTGGGCTGTGAGGTGGGGAAGTGTGTGCTCTGGGAGGCACTGAAGGAATCCTCAGATAGGGGCCACAGCAAAGCAGGAGGAAGACAGGGAAGGAAGCAGGGTGAGGGTAGAAATAGGAGACACAGAAAATATGAAATGCAGAGGTGGCAAATAAAGGAAGAGAAGCTCAGCTCTTCTCTGCCCGCCACCTGCAGACAACTCTAAGTTGTACTAGCTAAACAAATAAAATGTTACAGGAGGTAATACTTGACAAGCACTTGTTCCTACCTGGCCCTCCCCGAGGGTTTCATGTTTCATCCTACTGAAGAATGATTTGCAAGAATCTTCCGAGATGGTTCTTTGACCCTCATTTTGTAGGTGGCCAAATGGAAATTTGGGGAGCTGAAGTCTGACCGCAGAGCCCATCTGTGCACCAGAAGTTGGTGCTCGGGCTTTGTCCGTGTGATGGTCTTCCAGGACCGGCTTCCTGCTAGGTGAGTCAGGCCAAGATCTGGGCAGCGGCTTGCTTGGATGGAATGAGGCTGGGAGATACACTAGCCATTGGAATGAAAGAGGCCTTTTGCTGATGAGTACAGACTGCTTGAGATGTGTCCAAGTTGCCCAGGCCTCCTTCACAAACCAGTGGTTGGTTCTGGCCATTGGCTGGGCCTTTCTCACAGTGTAGTCACTCATGCTAGGATGACCAGTTTGGACCATGCATGACAGCACATTCCAGGGAGGGGGGGCTAGACTTGGAAGGTACCATGCACAGTAGTGCTGTCCGCTAGTCAAAACGAGGCTGAGCACACCCAGAGTCAGGGGGGTGAAACGACTCTACCTTTCAACAGGACAAGGACTGGCAAAGTCAGAGTGCAGAGGCACAGCTGCATGGGATGGGGACACTGCTGTGGCTATCTTGGCAGAGTGCACCTCTGGGCTAACGTCCACGGTATATCCTGGTGCTCCACCTCCCCTCTTTGGAATAGCAGCAGCAGTAGGATCTCCTGCCCTACACCTAGCTCCAGGCTCTGTGTCCTTTGCCACTTACTTAATGTCTCTGGGCTTTGAAGTGATGGTACCATCATAGGGTAATGGTGAGGACTACTAATTCCATAAGCAAAGGGCTTGAATGGTAGCCTTCCCTGGCATTAGGAAAAAACCAGTCACCTTCTTTGTGGTGCTGGGGATTGAACTCATGACCTTGTGCTTGCCAGGCAGGCATTTACACCATTGAGCTAAATCCCCAGCACAGTCACCTATTCATCAAATTGTAGGGTCTTTTCTACAAGGTGCTGGGAGGGGGATCCTAAAGGTTCCCAACCAGGTTTCACTTGGGGAGGCAGAGGGTGGAGAGGTGGTGGAGGGTTCAGCCTCAGCTCAGACTTGTGGACTCCTACCCCTCCATGGGAAAAGCTGCAGGATGCGTGCCCAGGCATCAGGAGAGACCTCAATCAGAGTAGGGTTAGAGTGGGGACTCACCTCTGTACAGACAAGGCCTGTGGGGCCAAGCAGGGGTGAGAGATCATGCTGCCAGGAGGAAAGGCCAGTGCCCTTACCCTGGCTTGGACGTCCCGGGCCTGCCCATTACTGGAGCCATGGAATTCCTTGGGGCTGCATGCTGTGTCCTTTTGGCAGCACCAAACTTCTTCTGAGCTGCTGTTTCCTCCTCTAAATGGAAATGATAAGGCCCATTGGCTGATCATTGGCTCCCATTTACTAAACACTGATATCACCCAGCTTGGTGTAAGATATTTCTACTCACAACACTTTGTTTGATCCCACAGTTTCTCATAGATAAAAGGAAATGTCACTCTCCTCCTCACAGATGAGGAAAGAGACCCCAGAAGAGCAAGCCTCTCTCTTTAAACCACAGAGCCAGGAGGAGGCAAGGCTGGGTGTGTCTGCTTACACTGTGCAGACCTTACTTCATCCATGAGGTCGGGGTGCCTCGAGGCAGTGGGAGAACAAAGAGGAAGGCTAGAAACCTAAGATTTTACCCTGACTTGAGGGCCTTTGGCATGCTTCACCTGAGAGCTCCTCATACCTGTGCCATGGGACACTCCAGTGGTGGCAGGCAAGGAGGTTTACCTTGTACACAAGCTGAGGCTGACAGAGTTGCGGACCCAGACTTTGTGACCGGCCCTAAAACAATTCACTGTCTGTTTCTTGGTGCCACTTGGTACTAGCTACCACTTTGCTGTGTGGCTTTGGACAACTCCTTTGTCCTCTTTGGGCCTTATTCCACAATACTTTCATGATAGTTTGGAAAGAACACGTGAGCAAGTTTGATATATTGTTCAGCACCATCATATCACGGGGCAGATCTTATATTGAGGTAGACAATACCACCTCAAATTCCAATCTCTGGCTGTAAGA